TACCACATTAAACCCAGAACCCTACGCTTACCATATACAACAAGAACACAACTTCCAGAAAGAAAAAGAAAAAGGCTTCTAAATAATGGAGAAAGTAGCACAATACGAGCGCGTTTTCAAGCAATTTGATGGCAACGGAGACGGAAAGATATCTCCTATGGAGCTGCAACAATGTGCCGGAGCGATAGGCGGCGAGCTCTCGCTGACAGAGGCGGAGGTGGCGGTGGAGTACCTAGACTCAGACAGCGACGGGCTGCTGGGGTTGGATGATTTTGTCAAGTTTGTCGACGGAGGATGCGACGAAGAGAAGGTGTGTGTTTTGAGGGAGGCTTTTAAGATGTACGTGATGGACGGGAGTGGGTGCATTACGCCCAAGAGTCTTAAGAGGATGTTGAGTCGACTCGGCGAGTCCAAGAGCGTCGACGAGTGCAAGAACATGATTGCGAGTTTTGATCTCAACGGTGATGGGGTGCTCAATTTTGATGAGTTTAAGGTCATGATGTTTTGAATGATGGTGTATGAAGTGTGATTTTGGTTTGTTTTTGCTACTTGTGTAAATTGTTCATTCATTGTTACTTGGCTTTATGGCTTGAGTGCCGGTTTTCAGCCAGTCTAACTTGAGACTGAGATTGTTACGTTCATTCATTTGCTTCTCTACGGCATATTTGGATTAGGCTGGTTGATTAGGACATTATTTCCGAGTACAAATCGCCTACCTGTAAAGAGTAGTGTAGAATATTGCATCCCATAAAATAAAAATGCTTTTCTACTAAGTCTACTCCTTCTCCCCTCTTTACAAGGGTTGGTGTTGCTCCATGTTCATGCAGTTTAAGTTAATCATGCATTTTATGTACTTTAACTAGTTTTTGTTGCATTTTGTCTTGGTCTGGGATACGGCGATCATGACATCTCATGTTCAAGAGTCTTCCCTCTTGTTCAATGTTTTGAATATAAAGGTTTCGTTTGTAATAAAAAAATGAATTAGAATAGATATTCTCAGCAGTGAACGAGGTCTAAAGATAAAAGGCGTTCTTTGGTTTGAATTGACTGATGCTTGACTGCGATAGTCAGTGCAGCACATGCTCCTATAAAACAAAGCAATAAGAAATCATGTTTATATAACCAACAACCATTCAAGCTAATCACCGTAGTTCAGTAATTAGGAACGTATTTTAAGTCCGTATTATTTAAAGAAACAAAGATATTACATATATATACAAGCAGAAGAACCCTATGACAAGAACCTAAGACAAAATTAAAAACATTTGTAACAGCGCCCAGAAGAACGTGTCTTCTGTTTGCATCCTCCAATGCTTTATTCACTTATTGTTTGCCGCTGCTGCTGCCTTCACCAGCGGCTTACAAGAGCTCTCACTGATAAAAATATTCTCTCCCTCCACGCTTTTCGACTCCTCCACCAATCGCGACAACTTCTCGACAACTTCCCCTGCACTAGGCCTCAAACTAGGGTCTTCGTCGACGCAGGCCCTCGCAAGATTTGCCAATGTGACAGCTGCATCAAACGAATAATTATCCCCCAACGCGCTGTCCATCCACTCTCTTAGCTCCTCTGCATTGTCTGACTTCAACACGGATTTGATCTTCTCCGACAGGTAAAAGTTTCCTTCTCCCTTAGCCCCGGGCCTGCTTATTGGCGTTTGTCCACACAAGACCTCTAGCAACACCACACCGAATGCAAATATGTCAATGCTCGGAGAAGTCACACCCTGTTGAAGATATTCGGGTGCCATGTACCCGAAGCTTTGATCCTCGGCTTCATTTTCAGCGCACTTTGCCATGCCGAAATTCCCAATCTTCGCATTGAATTCTTCATCTAGGAAAATGTTTCGGCTCTTGACATTTCGATGGACATAAGGGGGGTTCATAATGTGGTGCATGTACTGCAATGCCATGGCCACATCAAGACTTATCCTCAGCCTTTGGCTCCACGTTAAGAAACAATAGCATGACGCAATGAACTGGTTTTTGATTGCCAATCCGCCGTGGAGCCAGTCCTTCAAAGATCCATTCTTTGCGTACTCGAAAACCAGAAGCGATTCTTCGCCCTCCGGCCTCAAGCAAGTTCCCAACAGCCTCATTATGTTGGGGTGGTGGTGAATTGCACCATGAAAAAGGCCGAACTTTATCTTCGAAATGCTGTCCGGCTGCGTGCGCTTTACAGCCAAGTTCTTCCCGCTTAGGCGGCCGTGGTACACAGATCCCTCGATATGGTTGCTCGAACTGAAGTCCTCGGTTGCTCTCCTCAGCTCCTCAATTGTATACACCTCCACCAGCGCCTTTCGTGGGGTGGTGGTCTGGACGATCTGACCGTCAGAAGTATCTTGAAATCCTTCAAACGAGACTTTCTTGTCACTTGTCCTCACACTTAGGCTGAGCTGTTGCAGCTCCACATCACATCCTTTAGGTGAAGTCCTTTTCTTTTTCTTCATCTTAAGTAGCAAGAATGCTGCCGCGATCGCAATGCTGGCTCCAACAATGGCTCCGCTAAGCGCGACATATAATCCGATCTGGTCCATTTTCGCCTTCTTCTTGTGTAGACTAATTTCTGGGATGCTAGTTGCCGGAAAGCGCAAATTGGGTTCCCGGGGTTTTGCTAGGGGACCGAGTATAGGTTTTCCTTCAAGCGGAATCAAAAGAGATGTAATAGGTGTCAAACTTTCGGGTCTAAAGCTTTCGAATGATCTGTTATTTGCAGATATGATAGCTTCTTGTGTTGTATTGAACTTAACAGCCAAATCGAAAATCGTTTTCCCACCACTCACCGGATATGAAATTAAGAGTCTTAGTTGTTTCACAAGTTGAGATGATGATGGACAAGCACATCTCAAGGGGATCACCAACTGAAGCTTATCAGCAAGCCCCCACGGCGAAACTCCCAGATTGTTCTCTCGAATAGCTCTGCAGATCGTCAAGCCCGCTAGTGACTCAGCACACTCCTTTCACACTACTAGTCTTAGTCAACTCGGCACAAAAAACACCACGACTGCCACAATTACAATCAATCGGTATCAACAAAAGCTCGTCTTTAGGAAGAAACTCCGTGTTAGCTGAAAATCCGTTCGCGTCTGGTATCACCAACGGATTGAGGCCCCAAGCAAGCGCTCAGATTGGAAAGAGAGGAGTAGTACGCGGTAGTGCGAAGAATCGCAAAAGCTGCACACTTGTTCTCGACAGATGATGCATTTGCAACGTTGCAGTAGTAGCCGGAAGCGTCAGGAGACGTGGACTTGCAGCTTAAAATGTTGTGTGGTTTTTGTTCAAATGCAGAGACAGTAAGAAGTGAGAAGAAAAATAGGAAGGAAGAAGAAGAAGCAGCAGCTGCAGCCATGCCGATGAACTAGGCTGACCACTCAGTTCCACATGAGCCTACAAAAAATAAAAACAAATAAAAAACTTACTTTGAGAAGGTGAATATTTTGGATCTATACAAAATATAATTTTGAAAATTGAATGGGAGAATTTTGTCAAAGTTGTTCATGAACAAGATTCTTGGGCATGGCAAAGGAGTTGTTTAATTAGTCCTCACCTTGGGCTAATCCATCCATCCTCCATTACCAAATGCTAGCTAATGGGCAGCTACTTATCCCCAAGTTCCAAATGTCACTTATCATAAACACTTTTTCATCGGTTAGGATGTTTGTTATTTAACAAGTCGGGTTGATAAGTCATCGATAACATTGGTAGATAATATGTTAAAAAAAAAACGTATCAACGTGCTATCGATACATAATCCGTCAGTTACTAGTTTGATATTGATCATAAGCCATTATTCTCTAGACAATATGTTATTTAGTCACTTTAAATGGTGTCGATAAATCATAGATAATACTAATAGGTAACATGTCAATAACAAAAGGTAATAACTTGTAATTCAAACGTTATCCTCGTGAATGAAATGAAAAGATGGAAGAAAGTTTAATTGGCAAGCAGGCAACATCAGTATGGATAAAAATGACGCAGGATTTGGAGAAAATTGAGGATAAAAATGAATGGAAATACAATAGAAGAGACAGTGATGCAGGTTAAAAGCGAGGCATGAAATAAAGGACTACGTTTTATTAATAGGTCAAGTTGGTTATGAAGATCGTAGGTTGAGATGCTCCACCACTCACCAATCAACCAAATATTCAAGTCCTCTCCGCTGATCACATCATTTTTTTAATCTTACGAAAAGAAAAGAATCGAACATAAAATTTGTTTTGAATTTCAAAATGAAAAATAACGATACAATAACCTCCATACTATATGAATTCTCTTGATAATACTCTTTGAAGAAATTTATGTGGCCGACAATCGGACTGGATAAAAAGTTTGACCGACTCACAAAGCAGTCAGCCTCTCTACATTTAGGTACCACTTTAGATCATAAGTAGGTACAAACCCTAATATTACAGTTCACTTATTTGTGAGTGGGTGGTCGAACATCAAAATTTATCAAATCTTTGACGTCTGTACAATTGTTTTAAGTCTAACTAAGAATCAGATTAGTAAAAACTTGGTTTTGGCAAATCCAACTATAAAGTTGGACACTCTCATATTTCTCAAAATTTCAAGCACATCCAATAAGAAATTTTTTAAGAACAGATGACCGATAGTATGTCACATATTATAATATAAATACAAGAATGTTTTTTTTTTTTAATATCCCTCCACTTATATTTGGCATGTGATGTACACCCATATTTCAAACATATTAAAAAATTTCCACATCGTAAGATCAAAGTCAAAAAAGATGAATGCGCATTTCGTCCAAAGCAAAGACTTAAGTTAAGAAATCCAAGTCCCAATGGACGAACCTAAGAAGCCAACAGTGAAGGGCACGTGATAACACATGCTGCCCACTTCCCTTTCGGTCAACAATAAAAGATTTAGCAAAGTACCAACTTGGGACTTTGGAGCATGTCTGAAGTTGTAGGAGTAAGATTATCTCTGCTCCTATTTTCATCATCTTTTCTCTCTTCCTTTTACAATTTATTTTTTGTCTTATTATCTTTATAAAAAAAAAAAGAATCAATATAAGATATTGACGTGGCTTAACAGAATCATTTAAGTAAGAAGGGAAAGAAGGGAAAAAAGATTAAGAGATAGAATCACCTAATGCTTTTGCCGAGACATAACAAGTTGGGAGTTGCAATTTTCTCCTCTCCCACCGCGCATCCACAACAAAGTTACGTTACTGTCCGGCTGCACGTGTACTATACGACAATGCTCAGGTGAGATTAAACTTGTTAATAAAAAAATAGAACTTAATTTCCCCCTTTCTAATAAGCATCGATCCGATCTCTCACTTTTTTGTCTCATTAAATATGTACTTAAGCGTTTCATTATGTTTTTTTATAGGTCTTTCTAATGTAATTTCTTCTCTCCCATGAAACGGATAACATAACTTTGAGAAATGCTAATGCGACTCAATCTCTATAAACTTTCTATTACGTCATGTTTTTGGCGTAATGTTTTATAATGTTGGCATGAAAATTAACGTTAAACTGTAAGGTGATAAAGTAACTTTTACATAAGTCCCTTAGCATTCCTCCACTTTTACGTCTTCCTCGAATAAAAAAAAAAGACTAGTTTTATGTGACAATTCAATAGTGGATGCCAAATGCAAACATTGTGTTCAGATCGCATATGATGTCTGGTGCATGTGCTCTATACTCCCGAGATCAGGAGAACAACATAATCTCGATATAAAATAAACATGTGCTAACGTGGAATACAGGATTGTCTGGAGAAAATTTGCTGAGAAACGATTTTAACCAAATATTCCCAATGTAAGCAACTGAAGATTTCCCTTGTAGGGGAGAACTTCCATGCACAAAAATGCTACCAAGTCATTAATCCAAACCAATCACGTATTGCCATGTGAAAAAAATAAAACATATGACAATGAGTGATTGATTTGAGATACCGACCCAGTAGCATCTTTGTTGCATAATGAGGCTAAATTCACCTTATGCCTCATTCGAAAACTGACTACTACGATGAATAATTTCCTGAGTATGTGGGATTCTTGTTCTGTACCCCTACCACCCCAACCCCCACCCCCCCCCCCCCCCACCCCCCCCAGCTGATCTCATCTCAAAAGATAAAACCATAATGATTTGCAATGACATATTTAGATACTAAAGTCATCCTTCATATTTATGTATAAAGAGGCAAATCCCTGAAGTTAATGAGCACATCGTCACTACGGATGTATTTCCGGCATCAAGCAATCCGATAACAAAAAAAAAAAAAAAAAAAAGGAAAGATCGACATATATGTATGCAATGTATGAAGGGATTGCCAGCTGAGGGATGTCATGATATTCGAGTACGACATAAGCCGGTGTTACAAACACACAAGAAATACGTAAAAAGCATCCACATACTCATCACAGTTTTAAAACCATGTCAATTCGATCATAGAGGTACACACTGTAAATATATGTTGATAAAAAAATAGCAAATTATGATGTCTTGCCCATACCACTATCAACTTTTTTGTTGAACTCCCTCAACGCTACTTCTCAAAAGGGATATTACTGTTGCAGGCTCAGGGGCTCCAAACACGGAACTGCCTGCAACTATGCAGTTGGCTCCGGCTGAAGCTGCCGCATCAATCGTTGAAGGCCCTAAGCCACCATCTACCTGTGACATGAGATGGAAAGGAACTTTAGTACGTGTCCCCGGAAGAAACAACCCTTAAAATGTGTGTTGAGAGGAAACATATGAGGTTATTGACTTACCTCTATATCTAGCGAAGGGTACCTTTGTCTTAGTGTGCGCACCTTCTCCATCATTTCCGGCATGAACTTTTGTCCACCGAACCCAGGTTCTACCGTCATAACAAGAACCATTTCCACACAATTTTCACCTTCTATCTGTAAATAACAAAACATCATTTGAATATCTTCTGTATTAAAATATCTCTCCGGAGTAGACAGTTACTGAATACTAAACAATGGATACGATGACAAAAGATCAGATTGTCTTTCCTAGGTCACCTAAATGTCATGCAAGTAAGCCTGGTCAATCAATACATATATATACACCAAACTATATGGGGTGGGGGGTTTAGATATAAAGAAAGAAGTAAGACCAGAGGATAAACTTCTTCAATTGGCGTTCCGGGCTTTAATGCCACACCTGGCGTCATGCCCTTGGACTTAATTCTTTGAACAAGTTCTTGCCAATTGTCTGCGCAAACAAGGATAACGAAAGATAATGAAGGAAAAGTAGGGAGTCCCTTTTGTATCAAGAAAATACCACACGAACAGGTAAAGGAAGTAAAATAGGAACATTCCAATTTCCGACCACAACCAACCTTTAGATACTTCAACATGAAATGTAAAACCTGAAGCACCGGCTTTTCCCATAGGTTCGACATAATCAAGTGGATTTGTGACCATAAGGTGACAATCAAGATACGCCCTGTAGCGAAAAAAAAAGAATGATACGATCATACCAACATCCATTTATACTCGATAAAAATGAACGTAAAACAATGTCAAGGTAGTTACTTTGTGTGCTTTCTCAAACTCTGAATGACCGGAGCACCGAGTGTTAAATTCGGGACAAAGTGCCTGTTGGTAAGAAAGATAAATGAATCCAAGACCACCCACCACTTACATTTGTGAGAAAAAGCAAACGTTGCGATTAACATAAAACATCAATTAATTTGAATGTCTTCAGTAAGCACATACGAAATTTTTCAAAGAAAGCAACTTCATAGATAGATTATGCAAAGATGTCGACTTCAATACGAAAAATCACACATTAATCCAATTATTAACCAGTAGCTAACAGAATTATCATAACAGCAACAACAACAACAAAGCCTTATCCCACTAGATCATGTCGGTCGAGCTGTATGAATCCTAGAATGTCACTGCGCTCGGTTTTGCGCCAAGTCTTAACAGAATTTTCAAATCTATCCAATCATTAACTACTCACTGTATCAAAGTTAACCAAATAAATAAATTTGTTAAAAAAAAAAAAAAAAAGGAATTAGCAAACCCAATTCGTTGGCAGCCACTTGAGAGTCATGAGAAATTGGGAATTACTAAAACAGCAACAAAAAAAAAAGAGTCAAACTTACCCATCCTGCAAAACAAATACGAGGTTTTTGTCAAACACTAGACATGGTATTAATGAAAAAACATTGAAATTCATCGGACAATAGAAGAGATGGATTGAGGGCTTACCATGATGTCCATGTGGAGCCAATCGGCGCCGCATTTGAGCATGCGCTCGGCCTCCGATGCCAAATTGGCGAAGTCCGACGACAGCATCGACGGTGCTATTTTCGCCGCCACACCCATGTTTTCAAAAGCCTCCGAGACGACGAAAGTTAGATGCGGGCGGAGGGTCGGTGGCACGAGTAGTTAACATACAGCGCGGCTCCACTTAGGCCCAATAAAAATGGATCAAGAAACCTCTGAGGCTCAATAAGTAAATGGACAAACTTACAATAACAATAAAATGGATGGTTGACTTATTGTCAGAGTTGTGCTGGAAAAGTCAATTTGTGTACCTCTTTTGGGAAAGAGATCCTTTCATCAGAGCCGCCGAATTTATTCATCTGGACCTATTGGAATTTAATCTAACGGTTATAAACAATGACATTTTAAAAGTTATAATAATTTTAGTCGTTTGATCAAATTTTAAGGATATGAATGAGTGAATCTGGTAGCTTTGGTGAGAAAGATCTAGAAAGGATGTCTTCCCCCTCTTTTGTGCCTCAAGTTATAAGCTAGAGTTTGGGATGCCCATCTCTTGTTCCTTGTCTTGGTTTTTGGTAAAAATGAGGAGCATCTACCATATTTTTACTCTTCATGCTCAAATCTTGCTTTCTTTTATGTTTTGTTTCAATTATCTACCTGTTTCGATGACTGCAAATTCAACTGTTCATTGTTCTAGTGGGTAATCATTTTCAAAACATATAGCAATCCTACCCAAGATTCACCCTATGTAAGGCGGTTGCAAATGAATTGGGTTTGATAATGTATAGAAGAATCAGTTGCAACATTAGCACGTGCTTTAATAGGAAAAATAATGAAAATAGATTGAAAATTTTGAATTTTAACGATAATGACAAAATAAAGAGTAAAATGAATAGTACCAAAACTGACTTTTTAGTATAAAAATATGATTTTTTTCGTTAAAATAAATAGTATCTGAAATTTTTCGTTAAAATTCTCAGCATTAATTCCATGAAAAATATCAATCAAAGAGAGAGAGGAGGAGGAAAGCCACGTGGACGGTGCGTCTCATATGTATTTGTTCTTATATTCAATAATTTGACTGATTGATTGATAATTATTCCAAGTGAAGATATGACCAAAGTATGGTGTGGATACGTTCAAACCACACGATAGAGACAAGGCCAGCCCAAAACAACAATTATGCTTCAATTGCTAATCAATTTCAATCTCTTTTTTATTCGTGTTTTTGGAATCATGCATTAACTTTATACATAGTTTTTGTTGCTTAAAGCTCACACTGAACGAGCAATTATTTGGTATACGAAACACAATCATGAAATATTATTTATCAATCCGAACGTCTTTATAATGCATAAATAATACATAATGTTAAATTTTTGAGAAATCTCATTCAATTAGATAGGATAATTTAAAAATAGAACAAAAAAAATATTACAGTCGATTCGATAAAGGTCAAGTGACATGACTGATTATTATTTAAACGAGATAGTCTGATAGATCCTTGTAAGGCAAGTGCTGTAAGTTCTTATCATTCCTTGTCTACAATTATTCAAAATTTGATGTCTAATACCTATAGATAGTTCGAAATGCATAGGAACGATAATCAATTTTAACTCGAATGGTTTGTAGAGGAACTCTACCTTCTCAGATCCATTCAACATGTACAATTTCTTTTATGTCGATACGTCTTGCAATTTGTACTTGAATCCCTTTTGTACCTGTCTGTTCATTAATTCAATAACTTTTGTCATTGCTTTGCCAAAATGAAACTCTATTATTTGATTATCCTGCTATAAATTGAGGAGGAGTTGATAGAAGAGCTTCGGATTGAATCTCATGTTTCCTGAACTTATAATTGTTTCTTCATATCATACAAAGTTTTAGTGAATTCACATCTTCTAAATGTGCTATGTCGACTTAAATTTAGGGCATGGGGGCCATCGACCCCACTCAACTATCATATATGCCCTTATATTATCGTATGTCATGATCATGTACGTGGCGCACTGCATGACCTGCCTGTGTTTTCCCCCTTAAGTAAAACTTTTTTTTTGGTCGAATCCCTTAAGTGAAACTTTATCCACCTTTTTGGACAGATTAGTTCTTAATTAGCAAGTATTGGAAAGCGAGGAGGAAAGATAAAACCCCTTTGTTATCCTTTTTTGAAGCTCTTAAAACTATTTTATTTCTTTAATGGGGTTATCTCTAAACATAATAGTAAACTAATTAAGTATCCACCACCACTCGATGAAAGATTAAAAATAAAAGTAAAAAGTGCGTGGTACTTGAGAGAGACAATTTACTTGTAAAACGTAATTTTTTATGATTAAATTATTATTTAAATATTAATTAATATGCTAATTTTTTTATTAATGATACGTCACATAATTTATAAATATGATTGAAATTTGATTTACCTATCATTATTCTAAAACAAACAACGATTGTGAGCAACTTAATTTCATCTACCAATCACCATTGTATGAGCAACGATCCTTGTTAGATATTTTCATTATCATCATTCATGTCCCGCCCCCTCTCATGCCATACTCATAGCTCATTACATTCGGGGGCCTCACACAAGAATCTTTCCTCACTCATACTTACCCCTTGCATTCTGACTCCACTGCCTTTTGGTCGAACAACCATGTGGGACCGGCATCAGTTATTTTTAACTTTCTAAAGAATACCTAAACTGCACTTTTCACGCTTCTCTCTAATACTATATGGAAACCTAACCCTACCTAATACCTGTGCAAAGGATTCTTGGAACACAACTGTTACCATTTTTATGATTTTTTTTTTCTCGTCCATGTTTGCACACATATAAATTAGAATCCAAGCGTTTTTCTTTTCTTTGAGTGATGAGATGCGATTGATCTTGCTGGACTTGCACTACACATTCCCACGAGGAGGCAAATTCAGGAGCAAAGCAGATGAAACTTCAGGTTGAATGGAGTGTTGATTGCTTGCCCACTACAATTACTAACTATTGCCTCTCGTGCATGAAAGGGACGTCGTCGACGTAGAGTAGACATAAAAAAGGTAAATAAACACAAAAGAAGAAGAACAATCGAGATGGAAACAATACCAAACTCTTACACAAGGCAAACTAAAAGGCATTTATCGCTTTAAAAGGAAAGTATATGAAGGTCTTTATTTCTGTTACAAGATGAAAGACTTGTTGATTTATGGCAGACGATACACACACGTCTATATACTTACTTTTCTTAGGTGTAGGACCCTTAATCTTTATCTTCATTTATGCTCCTACGTTAACAAAAGTTTAGTGTATGGGTGGACGTTTAACTGGTCGTATTTATAATGGTTAAGCCCGTTAGTGACATGTGAATAACTAATTATCTTGAATTGACTCGAAAAATTATAAACATCTTGTTAAGAAAATACTTTGTAAATTCATTAAAAACGTACATAAAGTTATAAACTTCAATTATATTCATTAAACATCTTGTTAAGAAAATACTTTGTAAATTCATTAAAAACGTACATAAAGTTATAAACTTCAATTATATTCATTAAACATCTTGTTAAGAAAATACTTTGTAAATTCATTAAAAACGTACATAAAGTTATAAACTTCAATTATATTCAATAAATCTACTTCTTAGCCACGACCCATGCATCAATGAGAAGCTTGAACGTGTGTTTAGTAATATCGTTCAAAAATGTAAAAAGATTTGCAACAAAAAAAACAACATGATACTGAATGGTTCCAAACGTAATATATATATATATATATATATATATATATTTTATAAATCTTTTATGATAAAGTCTCACACATACCATACTAATACGTGATATATACAAGTATGAGACAATATTGTGCGATTAATGCTGGGCCACTCTTTGATCTTGAAAAAAAATCTCGTTCACAAGTTAATTAGGTTATGGTCAATTTTGTCGCAGCCTTGGCGTAGGGTGAATTCCATCGTTTTCATCTTGGTCCTTTATCCAACTGAAGTTCTTATCCACGTCTCTCAATTTGTCTCTTTTGATGTGATCATGCAAGATTAGAAAAAAAATTAGATTTAGATTGATTAGTGGAGAGATAATACAAAATTGAAAGGACAAGACGTCGGCTAATAAGAATATGAATTGAATTAATTAAAAAGCAAATTATAGTAATTTTTAAGTCTTCTGTCAATCAAACTCAAACCAATTACAGAGAGGAGAGGTGTCATGCTTACCTAACAAAACTACCAGTTTCAAACTAGGGTTAACTGGCTACGTTCCATCTTGTCAAAAGTATGCCACGCTCTGCAATCTGCATGATTTTATTAGGTTGGTGATATTTACAAGTACTTTTTTTACTTCTTATATATATTTTTTAAATTTGTTGTTCAATTATTTTTAATTTATTTGATTTGATAATTAAAAATTAAAAACAGTCTGTAATGTAAAAAATGGTATGTGATATTGAATGAATACTGTATCATATTCATTTACCAAACATTTATTGCTTAAAAATTAAAATATAAGGCACCCCAAAATATACTATAAAATTTCATATAATCTGATGATATTATTCTTCATTTGTAAGTGAAAGACTTTTTTTTCTTCTAAAACCTTTTTTTTTTCTGTATGCCTGTTCGTATCTCATGGATGAAAATTTCATTAACAAATTAGGTTACTCATTATGTGATTTAAACCGACATCTCATTCTCATTAGTATAAAATATATCTTTTGTACTAAAAAAAATTTCAAATGATATGAGCGCAATAATAAAAAATAGATGCGGAAAAATCACTCGCCCTGCCTGTTCGTTTTGTTCAGGTTTCCAATAGTTGATGGCATGGCAATAAATACCTTCAAAGCCTTGGATCGTCAGCTAATACCGGCCAACTTTGTTAAATAGAAATTCTCTTCAAATTTTTGTGTCTGGAGCTGAGAAATTCAGAGATTTAAATCACTTATTTTAAATTTTATAAACATCATATTAATTCATCTTATTAGCTCATTTCACACAAACTAAAACTCCAAATTCTTTCTTTTGAACAGCTCAAATCTTTTGACTATCCTGTGCTTGAGATGAGTTTGGTAGGCATGTATATTTATATGTATTGCATTGCACATAATAATTCATTTAAACGTGATTATTGTAATAATTAATGACATCTAATTGTGCATTTTCATGGACGTAGTTGAAGTCAACTTTTGACCAGTGGCCATCATTTTTTAGTATGGCAATTTAAAGTCCTTTTTAATCAACAATTTTATAAGTATATTTGACTGTAATTAAAGGAAAGAAAATTCAAGCATAATTCAAGCACTAAATAGTGATTTTATTCCCTCAAATCTTTTGTTGACGATGTTGAAAGAAAAACAATTTAATCACCTTAAATGTTTCATCTTCGTTTCTCATCAAAAGAATTTATACATAACAAGATGATTTTTTTTTTTTTGACAAAAACTCGATATTTATTGAATTCAAATGCACTACACCAATTCATAACTGAGAAGGTTTTAAATGAAATCAGAAGAGTCCTTTAACCATACAAATTTATTGTTAATAGAAACTACAAACATAGCTAATGGTATTCTGAAAAAAAAATAATAACACAATCACATCTCATAACAAATCACCATCTCATATTAGTAAATTAATCAAATGGCGATATGTGATAAACTTTAAATACAATTACGTTGACGTTCGTGTTGCAGATAAGATTTTTCCGGAGTTGAAAAGTTTTTTTAACCCTAGGGCCAAAAATTCAGAGATTCACCGGTCAGCTTTGACTTTGAGAGAAACAGCAGGCCCCACAAATTTCCACCAATACAAAAAAGAGGAAAAGCTCAACAGCCCCCAGTGGGGCACCACAACCCTATAAACCCACGATTCCACACAAACAGTAGAATGCACCTCCTCATATGGCCTTAACTTACCTTTCAAGTCCTATCTCTTTCTCCGCGCGAGAAAGGCATCTGGGCACTCAGAAGTCCATAAGCATAACGCCAAAAAACGCCCTCCTTCCCCTTCCCCCACCCTCCTTCTGCTTTACTCTCTCTGTCTAAAAGGTGTGGTGTTCGGAGTAGCGCTGAGAAAATTATTGGGTTTCCAGAGTAATATATAGAAACAGATATATATATAGAGAGAGAGAGAGAGAGAGAGAGAGAGATGGGTTCATGTGTTTCGGTTCATAAGGACGCAGATTCCGTCATGAAGCTCCGGCTTTCAATCGGGTCCAAAACTGATAATAAGCTCGTCATCCAACCATTCCCAGCCGAGGATGATAAAGTCACCGCCAATATTGACCGTCAGATCGCCGATCTTCCTCTTAAATCTCAATGGTCGTCCTCTCTCTCCGCCGCCGCCACCACCACCACCACCACCTTCCGGGACTACGGTAAGAAAAAACCAACCTTGTTACAAAAAGAATTAGTTTTTGGTCTTCTCTGGTCAAACCAATCAAATGTTGCCTTTTGGTTTTTTGGATATTTTCACACAAACTTAGGTAAATTCTTTTGAAGAATAAAGCATAGTGCTTATGCTTGGTTTTTGATCTTTTGGATTATAAGATATATGAAAGGTTTATGCTTTGAGTGCGAAGTGATTTCCGCGTACTCTTTTACCGTATATGTACGCGAATCAAATAACAGAAATATGCAAAGATGCGTGCAGAACGAGAAAAAAGATTATTCGAAAATCATTTTCCTTTTTGCTTATCATTTTCTGGTTAATTATTTTTTATTTAATATTTTTTGGGTTTAGTCATAGCTTAATTAGATTTCTCCTCCTTTATTTGTAGAAGCTTTAGAAATTGCTTTCACGTTTATGACACTATCTATCTGCTTGCCTTTTTAAGTATGATTCTATTGCTTTCAAGACAGTGAAGACAATAGCCCTTATTTCTTGTAGGTAGTTGTGGATTTAATTGGTGATGTGATATTTTTTTAAAACATTTCTAAAAATGTTCACAAAACTGAGTTGTTCTTCAAGTGTTTTGGCCTAAGGAAAGGGATCCTCGGGATCCCTCCCTTTTAATCTACAAATTTGAGGATCCGGACTGTTGAAATTTGATCGAAAGGTGGCTCATTTTAAAAGTTATAATAATTTACCCGTCTGATCAAATTTCAGCTGTCCAGATCCCCATGCTTGGTGTATTAAGAGGAGGGATCCGGAGAGGAACCCTTTCCTTGGCCTAAAACTGGGTTGATCTTTGTCGGGAGTGAAACCTTTGAATCCGTCGCGTATTTTACAAATTCGACTAGAAATACGCCTAAACATTTCGATCATGCCCCTGTTTTTTGCAGGAAAAAAAAAAAAAAAAAAAAAAAAAAGCTTGAATTTTAATTTTGTGTGTCACATGAAAAATGTGAACTTTTAGTACCCTAAGTTTGCCCAGATTACACAAGGAATCGGTGAAAGTCAATGTTCTCTGACGGAGCTTTCAGTAGGTGTGCGGTTGTTGCTGCAAGTAGGATTAGGTTGTTTTTCATATGACATATAACTTACTGAGATTGTGGTCCCTCTGCTTTCCCTTCATTTGAAAGTGATGAATATCGATGAGATAATTGACTAGAGCCAGTTTTGGCTTAAAGCATAGTCTCTAAGGGATGGATGGGCCACGTTTGGGAATATGTAGTGTTTAGAGGCCAACTAGCGTTTGGTATAGTGGTAGGCGAATGATTTCCGCACACTTCTCTTTTCTTACTCCAAGTCTCCAGGCTCATGTTTATTTGCGTCCCTTGTCCCAAACGTGTAGTGTTTAGAGACCAACTAGCGTTTGATATAGTGGTAAGCGAAATGACTTTTGCACACTTCTCTTTTCTTACTCCAAGTCTCCACTGCACATGTTTATTTGCGTCCCTTATTCTTTTTTCATTTGTTTAATCTAAAAGGGGTACATAAACAATGTTGTGTCGAGATGTAAAGGGGTATGCGGAAATCACTTTCTTAATGGTAGTGTACTCTACTTGGTTGGAGTATATTTCTAGTCTGACTCTCACGGAAGTGAGGAAGATGTATTCGTGATGAGTTTGATACCTAGATGTCGCTAGTGCATTGAGATGGTGTAACTTTGCATCTTTCGTATCTCATTGTGTCATCCACGGTTCCGAAACTGACTCATGTTGTTACTAAAAGTGGTGTACCTAATTGCTTCTGTTTCAACCTAGTTATATCTAATTAACTTGTGTTTGATTTTCTATTTGTTTGCTGGTGTTAGTCAGATGGATGTTTTAGGCAAGCATTTGGAAGCTTTCTATTAAATTGCTACAGCATTACCCTAATTCTGTTTCAGCCTAATTTACTTGGGACTGTGTCATGGATAGAATTTTGAAGCTCCTTTTGTTCTTGAGCAGGTAGTAAAGAGGATTCCTTTTTTGATACCCGGCCGTGGTTGGACTCGGACTGTGAAGATGATTTTTACAGTGTGAATGGCGGTAAGAATCTAGTCGAATTCTTCGAGCCATTTTGTCTTGCAACATTGTGATTTTCTTTACGTTTCTTCCCTTCAGTGAGCTAGATGTAAAAGTTCATGAGAAAATGGATTGTTGGTTTAGCTGTGCCACAATAAACATAAAATGCAGGATTGTTTTTCGCTTTTGTGTTGAACTTTTTGTGACTTTGATGGCCTCCGGTGCAGATTTTACTCCATCTCGCGGCAACACTCCCGTCCATCACAACTTACCCGCTGGTTCCTCTCCAATCAACAAAACTCCTTTCGAGAACAGAACTCCTGTTTCCATTCCCGTTCCATCTCCAACACCAACAGAAAAAAAGAAGAAATTACTTGAACTTTTCCAGGAGAGCTTCAAAGATGATGAATACGCGAACAACGAAGTAAAGCCGCCAACTGCACTTAACCTCCCTCCAAAGTCTGTCAATGGAACTAATTCCGTGTGTAGTAGTGAGAGGACAACAAATGGAGGCGTTCAAACTGAGATTGAGACGGGGAAACCATTTAGGGCCTCGCCGTGCTGCCTTCCAAGCTTAGTTTCTTGCCGCAGCTTGAGTCACAGGAAGAAGATGAGCCCTACCATTCCTGTAGGTGATAAAGCTTGATCATTTTTCCTGATATCGTAATACAGTGTAAATTTGAGAAGTTAAAAACTCGCTCGAGTTGCAAAACGTCGACCTCAATGTCTTGTAAAGTGCTAGGGATCCTAGCTGCTGCTGTTGAAATTAAGAATTTTGGGGATGGAGAGGCAGCAGCACTGAAATCTATGGGAATCCATCAACGCAACTGAAATCTTAGTAGGGAGCTTGTTACTGCATATTTAATAAAAGAGTGAAAAATCCATGTTCATTTTTGCCCGTTCATTCTATTTTGATTTATTCAATCTACAAGTTAAAAAATAATTATGGTTTTCGGAAATCAATTTCCTGAAGAAAATAAGCAAGAGAAGTGGACATGAGGACTGTTTTTCCAAAAGTTCATTTTCTGGCCTTGGGGGCATTACTTGAAAATCAAGGGAGATGATTGTGAACCCATTTTGGACAACATTTTTGGTTGGTGTGTTTTCTCTTTGTCCGTTACAGCCGGGCACGAAATTTAGTGCCTATATTTGTTTTGGTTCATTTGACTCTCATATGAACGAGAAAAAATTGTATGGAGCGGTTTTGTTACATGCAACCCTTTCGCTTGTAAATGTCAAGTGGTGAGGAAGATCGAGAAAATGATTACATGAATCCGTGATTTTGATAGACAGTTTTTTTAGATGCAATGAACGAAAAAAAACTTACGCAAAACAAAACGGTTATATTTTATGTAAGCTTTTTCTCTTATAAATGTCACAAGATGATCGAGATTGAGAGCAAGATTACATGAACGCGTAATAGATAAGTTTTTCTCTTAGTGGAGGAGATGGGAAGGAGTCCTTTTTCAAGCCATTGTGAAAAAGTTATAAACTGATTCCTTGGTAGGAGTCCTCAAGATATTTTTTTTTTTTTTGCCACTCTGACAAATAGAAAGTGGAATCAGAAGAAAGTGGCTCAATTTCTGGCTTTGATTCTTATTCACTAATCTTGTCAATGTGAAGGGAAGAACTGTGCGCCAAAAAAAGCCAAAACTCCACAACGGAAGGCACGAGGTGGAGCAATAATTCAAATCTTTTTTCAGATGATAAGTTTGTATGGTTGTTGGAGTTTTGTTGAGGCAATGAAGCATGGGCTCATTGGGGGTGGACATGACACATCACAAAAGTATGTTGTTATTATGACTTGAATGTTACGGTGTATTGCGGTGCTATGTAAATTACTCTCTTTAATTAAGGGGAAGATTCGAATAAGGCTGACTCATGCGACGACTCACTTATAAAAATGCTAAATCTATGAGGCGGCTACTCATATCCAAAATTGTATTAATTTCTTGATGTGAGATTTTTATTCTTTAGCAACTACTATATCCTCGACAATAGAAGTGAGTTCACAGGAGATATAATTGCGAGTTGAACAAGATAATATTTGATCACCATTATTGTGATGCAATATCAGACAATTATCATGGATTTGAAACAAAAAAAAAATTTATTTCAAGAGAAGTCCATGCTTATAAGATATAGTGTAGAGAATGTATAGCCAACAATGCCTGATAAACGGGTCGTGTTTGTCGTTTTCATGTCGCTTGATAAACAGGTTGTGTTTGTCATTTTCGTGTCATACTCGATTATTTTAACGGATCATGTCGTGTTAAATCTGTTATCTTAATGGGTTCTTAACAGGTGATCTGATAACGACTCAATTTGTTAATGGTTCGTTGCGTTTCACGTCTGATTAATGGGTTATGTAATAAATTGGCATGTGTAAACCTGTTAACTGACTTGGCTCGTTAACAGGTTGACTCGAAACCTGTTATATTCATGTTATTTCGTGTCGAATTAACAAATCGTGCAACAAATTGCCTAACCGAGCCTTATCCTACGGGTGTGCTGAAAACATATAAAATGTTACACAGCCTAGACAGCCACAAACAGATTGGTGCTTCTGCGAATCTTCCATTTCTATGACTTATTATATCCTAATTAAGCTAAGTTGTTCAACTCCAATGTGAAATGTACTTGTTCTTGGATACTGCAGTTGATTCTAAAGTTGCCTAAGCCACATGCATCACATGAATTCCACGACGAGAACTTTGGTTTCAGTTGCAGAACGCTAACTCAAACGTACAAATATAGCCAATACTTTGTACTTATCATGTTTCTTGACGCACGATTTGATTGAACCTCCTTGAGATTACAGACAAATTAATCTTCCGAACTTGCATGCAGTGTTGATTTCGTCTCGGGAAAATTTTAGGAGGATAGCCTAATCACATAAGTAGTATGGCAACTCTCACAATCAAATGAGACCATTCACATTAAACTCCATCTAGCTTTATATTTGTCCTATACTTTTGAAAGATATGATGTAGTTATTAGGCTTCACTTGATCATAGTCAAAAGATCGAGACAAATATATGTAGTTATTAGACTTCGCTAACATGATCAACCGATCTATTGTGAAATTATGAGTGCAACTTTATTCAATGTTACGTTCTTCATGTATTTGTGTTAAAAATCTTCATTAGAGCAACCTAAATATATCATTTGTATGTCAATTCTACTTGGCCCTACATTATCTCCGCACTTTGAGGAAATTTGTAGTTTTGGATGCGTCCAATTAGGTACTCACGTAATCGTGTAGTGGAGCCCACATTATTGCGTTTCCCAAAGATAAAATCCTCCATCCTAATCTCCAGTTCAGAGCTCTCTGTCCTTGAAATAGCAACAACAGTTCTTTCTGGATGTATTCCATTAAATCTCACCGATCAACAAACCAACGTTATTGAAATTTAATTAAACGGTTAAAAACATGAATTTTTTTAAAAGTGATAATAAATTTAAGAGAAATTTTAATTAAACCCTTTACACCCAACTTACTGTTTAAACCAATATTATTTTTAATTAAACTATCAATATCTCTTTTAATCCAAATTTACTACCTAAATTACCCTCACAAACTCAATTCAATATATAAATTTTTCTTTACACCCATTTGGAATATAAAAACACAAAATCAGTGTTCTACAACTCATTTAAGATTTGTCTTTCTAATGACATTTGCTTAGCTGTGATATAATTTCTTTTATAAAATGTTGTAGAATACAATTATATCTGCTACCAAAAGATTCAAATTTGTTCCTAGGTTCATTATCTAATAGAATTTATCTCTTATGAAACTATTCCACTCTTTCTTTGTTTCTTCTACCAGTATCCTCTTGCATGCTTCGTAGCACATGAACGAAGTCCCTGCTGCAGGCATCAACTTCATGCAGAGCGTTCTGCTGCAGACGTTGAGGCATTTACCAAGGAGAAAAAATAGTCTCTTCTATGCAAGCATCATGGAAAAGGCGCTGATTTTGTTCCTAAGTTGGAAAAAAAAAAAATCAAATGATTTTTTTTTTTTTAATAAATCGATTCATACCTTAGTTGGAAAATTTAAAACTTCAAAATCACCATTTATGAGTAAACAAGAGTTTGCTTTTCTCTATGAAAGCATCTTAAGGTTTTAGATAGAATGAACGTGAGATAAATATTGTGTGATGGTAGGGTTTAATTATGAGGTGGGTTTATTGATAAATTTTGATTCGATTGTTAATTTCATCTTGTACTTGATGATAATTATGCAATAGGATATAAAAGACAACTTGCATTTGAAGTTTAAGTTGGGTGTAAAAAAAGGTTACATGGGTTCAAATAAAATTTCTCTAACTTTAGCCGTTTGATCAAATTTCAAAAGTTTAAATTTGTTGATTAATAGGATTTGATGAAAGGGATCCGGATCCCTCTCCCAATATTCCAGCTAAAATTCTTTATTTGTTTGCAGGAGTGCCCAGTCTCATATCCTATGTATTTTACACGATCAGTTTCTTGATGGTAAGAAAAGGAAAGTCCAGAAGGGACCTACAATGCCACATCATTGAAAAGAACGTAAACACAACCCGATAAATTAAGTGTAATAACAAAATTAGTTAAAAATTTGAAAAAAAAGAAAATTTAACTAATTATATTATGATACTTAATGTATCGGTCATATGCTTTCGACACACTGAAAATTTTCTCCTCTTCAAGCCAACATCATATCTCACTAGTAGTCAGCTAAGCTGGAAATTAGGAAAAAAGAAAAAGGTACAACTCGTTTTCCCACTCTGTTCTGCCTCCCTTTTTCTTCAGCTATATAATGCCCTGAAAGCAGGCAACTTTTCTTCAACCTTTTTTTAGGCGAAAGGAAAGCGGTTTTATAGAATTAGACTAGCTCAGTTTGTTATGGCAGCAGTCTGGACGAGCTTCTGCTTCCTACTATCGCTTGCAGCACTTTCACCTCATCGAGCGCACGGCTCCACTTGGGATTCACTATTCGGCCGCAAACACGGTGCTGCGGCCGCCCCGACAGTTGGTATATGCGCGTCGTCGGTGGTTGTGTACGGCTACCCATGCCAGGAGTTTGACGTAAGACTTGAACTAATTAATTAAGCCAATATTGCAGATGATATATAGTTTAGTGGCTTAACTTTAGCTAATAGTGGCTGCATTTTTGTTCAGGTGACAACTCAAGATGGTTATATATTGAGTGTGCAAAGGATTCCGCAAGGTCGCGGGAAAGGCAGTGGTGGCGGCAGCGGCGGCGGGATTAAGAAGCCACCGGTCTTAATTCAGCATGGTGTCCTTGTGGTAAGTCTTCTCCTGACATCCTCGTTAATACGCATGATTTTGTCCGGTTTACGGGAATTCTTATGTACGATTAAGGTACGATCTCTCGTTAGTATCTTTCTCATCTCGCAATTAGGACGCAAAATTTTGCTCCTGTTTACGTTTAACTATGCTCTGCGTCTTTGATGAAGAATCATTATGGCATATATTGATTAAAGTTTGCCTTTTCGTTCCACAACCACAATTTCAAATTATGAGAAATGCACCGAAAGTTGCTTTAGATCGATCGTTACGGGCAAAAGTCAAAAAGGGAAATTAAGGGACAATGTAAGAATGATTAACGCGTCATGTTATATTGTAATGTATGCAGACGTGAGTTAAGTCAGATAATTATAAATTTTTATTGGTAATTTTCACACATTTTCGATAATTTTTTTTTTGTCAAATAATATAAATAGATAAGAGAAGTGTTATTTGCATTCAAAAAATTTCATTTTACATTCTTCATAAATGTATTTTTTTGTTAAATATAAAAAATTTAAAATGTAGAATGAGAAATTTAAATGTCGATAACCATTTTCATAGATAAAGTCGTTTAAAATATGAAACTTCCACGTAA